TGAACATATTCACGAAGTTGATAGCATGCATGTTGCACAAATCTGCTGTTGGAGTTGTGAAGAAAACTCTCTAAATGATTCCTGTCACGGTCAATCAAATACCACACAACTCTTGCAGAAAAACGGAATTTCTTGAAGTTCATAGCAAAATGTGTATGATACTTCTCTGGATCCGCTTCTGCATATAAGGCATCCTCTGAAGTCTTTTAAACAGGGAGATTTGTGATTGGATCCAAAATCATAAACTCTTCCCACAAGATCGAATGGTTAAGAACCCACTTGGGAAGCACCTTGATGAAAAAGTCACAAACAAGTTCAGACAAAAGGTGCATGACACGACCAATCTCTTGTTCCTGCTTGAAACGATAGTGCAATTTGGCAAATAAAGGAGTGTTAAATGCTTCCTCCACTGTGTTGCCAAAACTATCCCACTGAGGTTCTGGAATACCAAAGTTCCAACCCAGCAATTTGGGATCTCTGCACATATCCAAGAAACTTGAAAGTTCTGCAGATTGAATACCATGGTCTGTCAGAATTTCAGCCCAGCGGCGTCCATTCTCCCAAGCACGGATGAAGAAAAACTGTTGATATCCAGTCTGTGCCAACTCCATCCACTGACAAATTCCAGGTTCAAAACTCGGTGCATACGTCTCGGGGTCATCCTCTGTTCCATAAATATTTGGACGCAGCAACTTGTATCTTCTACAAAAATATTCTCTCTGGTGTCTTGTCAACCTGTCCCAATCACGCACCAGAATCACGTCTTCTCCAGTGCTCTGAAGTACACGTGTTCCTCGGCGATCATGGAGTGATACCATGCCAATGTCATATACCATCCATGGGTTGAGAATCAGGTTGTTGACATTCTGAATGAACCATGTCATCTCACGCTCAGCAACATGAGCAGAGTCATCTTCTTCATCCTGTTGAGGTTCTCCAGAAGTCCTTGCTGTTGATCTCCTTGAAGTGATGTCCCTCCATAGGTGGTCAAAGCGAATCACTTCCTCATCAGCCTTCACCAGATCTTGCTGATCCTTGCTCAGAGCTAATGGGTGTACCATAAACAAAGATCTCGAGGTAGCACCATCTCCATTGACAATCAACGTTGGAGCACTATAGCCTAAGATGCTCCAAGGATCATGATCATCAATCTCTTTAGGTGGAATTAAAGACCATCCAGGTTGATAATGGCCTTCAGGCATCACCTGACGTGACCTCAATCGTGAACGATTGTACTCACGTGTAGGATCATTGTCAGAGCTGAAAAATCTCGCAATGCCATTGGAGGTCAGCTCATCTAACCAAAGAGACATATGCCTTCTGGTTTGTTCCACCCCAGGCTCATCTGCATTAATCCTTCTGATAGTTTCCAATGCAAATGCCGTGTCCTGTGAGAGTCTTTTGAACAAGGATCGCAAAGTTTCTTGTTGCTTCTTCTCCCTGTTGACCTTCTCTACCATCTCCTCTGTGGACAAAGTGATACTCAACTCCTTAGCTGGCTCTGGAGCATCTTGTGGTCGTGGTTCATCTCCACTAATGTCCAAATATGTGGGCTCTACATCACAATGTGCAAGCACCACTCCATTGTTGCTGAAATACAGAGGACGTCCAGCTTGAAGCCAACTAATCACGTTAAGCTTCACATACAAAGGCTGGTCATAGTTCCTTGGAACCACTGTACCTGGACCTAAAGGAATGTAAGGCAAAGTTTGTGGATTGCTGTACATGAAAGGAACATAATCTCTTCCTTCACCTCTATTCCTTCTATTCCAACTTTGTGGATCTCTCATCAAACCATACCTTGCAATGCTGGCCCAGTTCTCCTTCTTGGTAACATGAAAAACATGTCCCAAACATCTTGCCTCAATAGAAGTCAATCTATGATTCAACTTCTCTGGACTGATGTTATATGAGAGTCCTGTATGCCCTTGGTTCACTCCCAAACGCATGGAGAAGGGCATATCGTATTGATTGCCTGTGTTGTGCCAAACATTCTTGTCCAAGCGAATCACCAGATGAAATCTTTGCTTCTCATCGCTGTGCAATATAGCAAAGAATGCAGAAGGATGAATCGAAAAGGGTTGTGGCATACGAGCAGTTCCCTCTGTAATCAGAGGCATAAGCTCTATCATCGCCCTATTGTCCATCAATCTGTCGAGAGAACGATCATGTCGTAGCATATAGTTGAGCCCCGTGCTGATCCTTCCATATTCGTTGTGCCTCCACGAAACTCTTGTTGCCACGAACTGTCTTCTCCTCTCATATTCATCCTCTTCTTCTTGGGTGACATAGCCAAGAGCGTATCTGGCAATCTCTGAGAACCATCGTACTCGAAAATCAAAACTATCACGGTTCCCAGGTGTCAAACACATTGCTAGAATGTCAGCTATGATCAGCTCATCCTGCTCTGAGTTCT